GAGGGCAGGTTTCCTGTGGGGGGGGGTGCTCAGATTTCCTGGAAGTCGGTGGAAGGCAGCAAAACCAGTTCAAATCTGCAGCTGCTGGCACGGCCACCTCACCGTGCCCTGGCTGAGGGCAGCACTTCCTTCTGTGGCAAAATGACTCACCCTGAGGCACTGCTTCCTTCTCCCCATCCCACCCCCCTGCAGGGGTCCAGCCTGTCCTCTGTGTGGGCTGGTGGCTCCCTTCAGACACAGGTACCCCAATCTGAACCCTTCACTTCAGTGTCTCTGCTCAGAGAAGGACAGAGGTGCTCAGGGGCGAGCACCCCACAGGATTTCTCGGGCTCCCAGGGGCACTGGAGGGGATCCCCCACAAAAGTACAGACAAAAGGACGAGGTTCTGGCCAACCCTTTGCTTGCAAATGAGACCAAGGGCCAGCCCTGCCCAAATAAGGGCTTTGCAGGAGGGCAGGTTGTGGCTGGGGAGGTTTCTCTGCTTTGTTTGTTCCCCTTTTTGAGAACCACCACTTGAAAAAAAAAAAAAAAAAAGCTCCAGGCAGAGCAGCCCTTGCTCTCCACAACAGCAAACATCAGCCTCGCTCCCCCTGCAGAGCTGCAGCACCTCTTGCTTCCCACTGATTTCAGGCTCCCACATTCCTGAGTGTGAAGCTCCCACGTTCCATCACCCAGGAGATGCCTGTGCTGGAGGGGTCTCAGGTCATCTTCACCCAGTGCCTCCTGGGCAGCAGCTGAAATCTCTGCTGGGACACCCCCTTGGTCTGGCGTGGGGCACCATTCCCACCTGGGGAGCCTGTGGATGTGACAGCAGCTGTCTCTCCTCAGGCTGCAGTCCTTCACACCATCTCCTTCCTGTTTATGAAACCCTGATCCTTCCCTCCCAGTGCTCAGTGGGCTGTAACTGGATCCTGGGCAGGAGGCAAAGGCAATCCCTGGTTATTCTGATTTAAATCTGTAGGGCTTGCGAGTGTCCTGTTTTATGGAGCTGCTGTCGGGAAGGTGGAGGATGCTGGAGGTTTGTCCTGCATGGAATTGGATTACAGGATTGGGAAGCATTTGTGTGTGGCAGCACTGGGTTTGGGGATTGCCTTTCCTAGTGCTGAGGTGCCAGTGGCAGCAGGTCCATGCAGAGTTTACAGCTGGGTCTTGGCTTCAGTGCCAGTGCCCAACCCACCCCCCCTCAGGCAGTGTCTCCTCTTTTACACAGGAAGGGGGGAAAAAGGGGGGGATGTTTTTGAGCTAAAAGAGGGGAGATTTAGATTAGATACAAGGAAGAAGTCCTTCCCTGTGAGGGTGGTGAGGCCCTGGCACAGGTTGCCCGGAGAAGCTGTGGCTGCCCCATCCCTGGAAGTGTCCAAGGCCAGGTTGGAGCAACCTGGGCTGGTGGATGGTGTCTCTGCCCATGGCAGGGGGTGGAACGAGATGGGCTTTAAGGTCCCTTCCAGCTCAGCCTATCCTATAACTCAATGATTCCCTGCCCCATCTCAGGGGTTATCTGCTGTATCAGGTCCCTGGGACGCTGCTTTGGGGCCCCACATGAGGTTTGCACACCCACATCTCATGGGAGGGTTGCACAACCCTGTCTGCTGGCTCAGGGGACAGATCCTGCACCGAGACACTGCTCTGTGCTCTGCTGCTACACAGGCAGGGATACCTTAATAGGGACAGAGATGGGAACTGGCCAAGTCAGGCAGTGCAGACATGGGGAGCAGAGAGGGAAGAAGGGCTTCAGCCCCGTGGTTCTGGATCAGTTCTCTCCCAACTTCCATGTAAGCAAGGAAAACAGGGAGCCACATGTGCACTCCCAGTTCCCTCAGGAAACCAGCCACATTCAGCTGTGGCTTTTAGCACCTTCAGTGTAACAGACTTCTTCCCTATGTCTAATCTAGATCTCCCCTCTTTTAGCACAAAACCATTTCCCCTTGTCCTGTCACAACAGGCCCTGCTAAAAACTCTGTCCCCATCTTTCTTGGAGCCCCTTTAGGCACTGGAGGGGGTTCTAAGGTCTCCCTGGAGCCTTCTCTTCTCCAAGCTGAACATTCCCAGCTCTCCCAGCCTGTCTCCAGAGCAGAGGGGCTCCAGCCCTTAAAGCATCTCCATGGCCTTCTCTGGCCCTGCTCCAGCAGGTTCCTGTCCTTCCTGTGCTGATCCAGAAGCTGCTGCCTCCTCTTGGCCTCTTCTTTGGAGAGCTGCAATTCCACTGATCCTGCAGGGAGAGCATCCCTGCTGGACTCAGCTTTTGCACTGCTCAGAGCAGGGGCAGGGAAATTTTGAGGAAGGAAACTACAGAGACTCTCAGCTGCTGGTTGCTGCCTCGTGTAGTGCCTGAAGTCGCCCTTTTTTTCCCCTTTTTTTCCTGTGTGTGACACGGGGGACTGGCCTGATCCTCCCGAAAAGGCAGCTGAGATTTGCTGATGGCTCTTTCCACGCCTAAGCACCCGTAAAGCCCGTCCAGTGTTCTGGTTTGGCCGCTGCATTGTGCAGCCGTCGCCGCACAAAGCGATTTCCCCACACGAAACTGCGGTTTCCTTTCAGCAAAAACTCCCAAAATACATCCCAGTGACATAACTACGGGGTTCTCGTGCCGCTCTGGGCACTGCTCCGGGCTCAAAGCTCGGGATCCAGCTTGGAAAGGATGGGAGAATAACAGCCCAAAGCTTTGGAGATGCTGAGGCTCCTCTTCCGCAGCAAGCCAAGGATCCAGGAGGCAAGTGTCTGATAAAATATCTGCTCTGTCTCTTCTGCAGGACACGAGAAATCGGGGAATCGCCCGATTGTAGAGAGCCAGACCTTATCCAGGGTTAATTTACAACTTCTCTTTTGGGAAAAAAAGGCATTTTGGAGGGTACAACTGCTTTCTAAGAAGTGTCTTTCCTAGGTGCTGCCAGATTTTGGGAGTGTTTTGGGACCCAGAGCATGTGTTGAAGCAACAGAAATTAAAACAGCTTCTGGTTAGTTGTTGATGAATAGGAAGGGAAATGCCAAGAGCAGAATCTGTTTCGAGCTTTTGCAGGGTGGTTGTTTTTTTTTTTTTCCTTCTTCCTTGCATTTAGATGTGACGGTCTCAACCAGCAAAGTGACAAAACGCGAGCAAAAACAAAACCTGTCTCTTGGCTTCTGGCTTGTAAAATCCTCCCTCAAAAAAAAAAAAAAAAGGGGGGGGGGGGAGAAAGTGGGAAAGAGGACTCGTATTTTGAACTTGGAAAAAAAAAAAACAAACCCTCAGTATGCCCCCAGCCCCTGATCTGAGGTGGCTCAGCCATCTGTGAAGGCAGCATTGGGAAGTTTGGAAAAGTTGTCTCCTCCTCTGACTTGAGGGAACCTCTCGGGCTCAGCCCTGGCTGGTGGCTGGGGGTGTCCTTCTATTTTCCAGGAGCAGCAAATACCATTTCCCAGCAGTGCAGGGATCTGTGTAAAATGCCTCTCTGGATGCTGTGGGTGATGGAAGGTGGCTGGGAGCTCCCAGGAGCAGTGTGTGCTGGTGGGATGGACCTGCAGAGACATCCGTGCTTGTGCGAATGAAATCCATCCGTCCCCATCCCAGGCAGGGTCTGGTGCCTGCTCTGAAGGAGCCAGGAAGGAGCTGGTTTCCTGGTGGGTGGGTGGGATCCCCGGGGAGGGGGTTTTGCTGAGGTTTTTGTGATCACTTTTCACTCAGGAAGGGGTTCAGCTGGGGTTTTGGTGGATGTGTCAGCCAGCTGCCCTGGCATCCCCTTCCTGCAGTGACAGCAGCAGGACAGCCACCTTCTCCCAGTCCCAAAGAGATCCTGCCTGCTCCTGCAGCAAGGGCAGAGCAGTGGAGAGGAGGAAGAAGAGGTGACTGCAGGGGCCCCTCTGATCTGGAGCTGAAAATCAGTTAATTCCTAGCTCTAATCTCACTGTTCTCATGCGGCTCCTCCCGTTCCTCAAGGCTTGCTTTTCCTTCTCTTCTCCCTCTCTGTAGCTCCTGTCCCACTTCCAGGTCACTCTGTGCCCACCCAGTTGTCACTGCTGGCACTGTGGGCTCCATCCTGCTCTCACACTTCCTGAGAAAACACCAGAGAAGTCACAGCTCGAGTCCCCCTTTGCTCCCTGCAGTCACATGTTTTATCTCACCCACAGCCAAAGACTTGAACCTCTCGGAGGAAATCCTCTGATTTGAGGGTTTTTGGGGGGTGATTTTTCTATTCAAACTTGGCTCGTGATCTAAAAACCAGGAGAAAGAGTACCCAGATGAGATTGCAAGTCTCTGTACCTTCATCAAAATACACTAGGCTTGGGGACTGACCTTGCAAAAACTTACTCCTTCCCTTAAGTCTGAGTCTACTGGAGGAGAAGGAGCCATTTCCTAGCTGAGAAGCAGTTCTTTTCTGAGCTCCCCTTAAATGCTTCTGCATCTCTCCCTACGAGGGTTCACAGTCTCACATCTGGCCCCAGAGGCAGCATAAACTGACATTTCTGATGCTGCTGGGGACCTGTCAGAGCAGCTGGGCTGGCCCTGCCCTGCCCTCAAGGGATGTGGGGAGCTCTGGTATTTGAGTATGTTCCTCCTGGTTGCTTTAGAAACTGCTGAGTGTGCCCAGGAGAGAAGCCCAGTCTTTGCCATGGGGGTGCCAAGCTTCTCTGCAGACCCAGGACAGATGCTTTTGGAGCTTGTCCAGGTGTAGCAGAGAGTAAAATCTGATCTAGACATTAATCAACCTGCCAGAAATTAATTCTCTCTCCTTGGTGCTCTGATTCTTGGGGGACATGTGTAACCAAGTGCCAGCACCGTGTCCTGAGCGCTCTGTCAGAGTTTATCAAAGCCGGTCAATATAAATTTATGTAACAGGAGCTGGCTCCAGCTGCTCTCCTGGAGCCACCACACAGCTCAGAATCACATCCCGAGGAGCAGTGGCTGGTGGGACACCACCAGTGACTGTGAACAGCTCGCCTGGTCTTGCTGAACAAGTTAGTCGGGAAAAGTTTAACAGAATATCACAGCCCCTCTGTGCTGATGCTTGTCTGTTGTTCCACAGGTAAAATCCGACATCACCTGGATAGAGAAAGACCTCGTGGACTCAGCAGACAAGGTAAGAGAGCCCGTTGCAGTGGGACTCATCCCTTTCATTTGCATTTTGTCCCATGACGGGTCGTCCCACGTCAGGGACCTCTCTGAAAACAAAACCCTTTCCTGCCACCCGCCCCTGAGAGCTGAGAGCTCTGTGGGACTGCTGGTGCAGAGAACAGCTATGGCTCACGTGACATCCTGGACTTGGCTTCATCCTCCTCCTCCTTCCTCCCCACACCAGCCCCCTTTCCGTGCTGTCGTTTGCGTCTCCTGTGGTTTTCTGATCTTGTCGCCCTGCTGGGGTGGGCACTTTTAGTTGTGTGGACACAGCAGGGGGGGGAGATTATATTGTCTTTTTCTGAGGCTCCCCTCCCCACGCTGGTAACACAACGTGGAAAATTGTCTTGGCTGGGACAGGATTTATCAGGAGCCGGCTGCTCTCCCACACGGCTCCACTGGAGCAGCGTGAGGCTTCCCTGGGAGTGGTGAGGCTTGTCTTCGGGCAGCACGCTGTGGACACGGTTTCTCCTTCCCTAGACTGTGGCAGGGTGAGGGAGGTTTGAGTTTTTTGGGGCTCCTGGCTGTGCCCAGCAGCTGCACGGTGCTGTTCCCAGCTCCTCGGGCCTCACCAGCCACCGAGGTTCCCACCGTGGAGCTGGGACCAGCTGCCTGGCTGGCATTAAGTCATTTGGGTCTTTCACTATCGGTTCTCAAAAAGCACGTTCTGGGGGTGGAGGAGGCAAGACAGTCATAATTTGTCTCTCTGGTCCAAACCAAGATCCCCTTTTCATCCCCTGTGCTCTCTGGAGTAATTCAGAAATAACGCTGACACGGGGCTATTTCCAATTGCAAAGGTGTGGGGGCGTATTTTGACTCATTTTGAGGGGTTTCTTTCTTACCTGCACACCCCAGGGTCTTGCTGTGGAAAACATCTGTCTGCCCTGATGGAAAGGTCAAAGGGGAACAGTCTTGGAGGGGGAAGGAGGCAAAACAAGCCCTCTAAAACCTCTGCTCTGTCCTGCCAATAATCCGAGCCACAGTGGGATCGGAACCTCTGCATCAGAAATGCCCTTAAAAACACCTCACAGGGACCTTCCCAGGCTGTTCTTAGATAACTCCAGCATCCACAGCAAGAAGTCTTGTGCAGCATTATGCAAGTGAAGGACTGAATTCAAATCCCAGTGATGGTCATGGGTTTGATTCACCCCGAATCCCATCATCCCTGTGCCCGTGTGAGAGCAGAGATATGTGCAGCTCTCCGAGGTGGTGTCACACTTCTCTGTGGGTTCTCAAGGGCTTTCCTCTTCCTTTTTAAAGACAAAAGTGGCTTCTCAGAATTTTGCCCTGTTGTGGAAATACCTCAAAGCTCACAGCCTGACGTGAAATTCAGGCAGCACTAGATGGAAATCAATTTAACTAGACCGTGTGTGTTTTCTATCAGTGTCTTGTCTGAGCCAGGGAACCCAAACACGAACGAGGAGCCGTGAGATTATTTTTTTTTTTAAAAGGAAACCCAAAAAAAAAAAAAAAAAAAAAAAGAAAAAAGCCCCAACCACAAGAGCTGTTGCTGGGGAGTGGGAGAGTGAACCTGCCTCCGTGTGACCGAGTCTCTCGTCCCCACTGCGCATCTGCCACCGCCTCCAGCCACCTGTATCTCCTCATCCGGCACCCTGAGCCCCCCCCAAAGCCCTGGGAGCTGGCGGGGGCGGCGGTTCCTGGGGCTGGACGATGTGGATCGGGATGGGAGGATGGAGAGCGACCCTAAACTTCCTCGCCTCTGGGCGTTCCTCACGCTCTGGCTGCAGAGGAAGCACCGAGCCAAGCCCTGCAGCCTCCAGCTGCCTGCCCCCAGCCAGCTCACCAGCCCGGTCAGTACCACGGCCCTGCCTCCCTCTGCTTCCCTTGCTCCCGCTGGCTGATGCTCCCGAGGGATATTCGGAGCAGTCTGGCTTGTTTCCCTTTCTCTGCTTTCTGGGATGGTTTTTTAATGGTGCCGTTGGAAGAAACTTGTCTCGGTGTGCTCTTGTGCTGGACACTTGTGGTGTGCTGCTAACCAGGCTGCAAGAGCTGCTGGCCAGAGTCCTGAGTGTTGAATTCCAAGCCGCTGGACGAGTCCATGGGAGGGAAACACTCCCTTGTGTCAGCAAGATGCCAAATGGCACCTCAAAGCGTTTCTCAGCGTCTCTATCAGCAGTGTCTGAGCTGGTGCCACTGCTGGCCTCGTTGGTGTGTGTGGTCTGGCTGTGTATGCAAACCCTGCCTGCCCTCAGCTGCAGCTTGGGCTGCTGAAACCACTTGCAGTTGAACATGCCAGGTTTTGCTGTTGCAAAGAATTCCCACAGCTGTGGAAACACAGCTCTGCTGCTCCAGAGGAGCTGTGGCAGGAGGATCACAGGATGGTTTGGGTTGGAAGGGACTTTAAAGCTCATCTTGTCCCACTCCCTGCCATGGGCAGGGTCACCTTCCACTAGCCCAGGTTGCTCCAAGCCCCATCCAACCTGGCCTTGGACACTTCCAGGGATGGGGCAGCCACAGCTTCTCTGGGCAACCTGTGCCAGGGCCTCCCCACCCTCACAGGGAGGAATTTCTCCCTAATGGGTCCTGGATGGGTCCAGATGCCTCAGAGCTGGATACAGGAGTTCATTTTAAATGTTCCTCTCAGCATAGGTGTGTGATGCTACAGGGTGAAGCATGTGTGGTCATACAGGTGCTGATGCTGTGCAGAACTGGTTTTTCTTTAGTGTTTTCAGGAATATGAAGGGAGGGGAAGAACCCACAGCTTCCACTGGTCCCCTCCCCGAGTCTCTTCCTGCTGTGGGGTCACTCCCTGGAGAGCCGGACTAGCAGGAGGAGACCTCTTAACTGGCTCCTGCTCCAGCTCTTGACTAGAGGTGGGAACCTGTTTCTCATGGCAGCTTTCTGCAGGGACTAAGCCTCCAAACGAAACCAGAAATGCAAAGTGGCTGCTTTAAGCGGGAGATCATAAGGAACACGAAAACATGTTGTTGCAGGGATTATAGGATCCTTCTCCCCTGTGATCACTGGGGCCAGGGAAAGGCAGGATAACACCAGGGAGCTCCTCTGCCTCTGCCCCCTCCCCGTGCTCAGGCTGTCCCTGCTGCACCCCTCGGGAGTGTGGGCTCCTCTGCCAGCTCTGAGTGTCTGAGGAACACAGCAGAGAGCAAAGCCACCACCATGGGAACAGAGCCACTTCCTAAGCTAGAGAAAAGCCCAGCCTGGGAGCGGGGAGGGAAGGGTGGGTGCTCAGTGCAGGTGGGCAACCACATCCGCAGGCGCTGGGAGGGTGGGGAGTGGGCTGGGGCAGAGGAGAGGCAGGGCCTGGCACTTGGTTCCTGTTGGGTTTAAAAGCTGCTTTGATTAGGTGGTTCCCGACCAAGTGTCTGAGTAGCTTTAGTAAATAAAGTGTAATTTCTTTTTTTTGTCCCCCCAACTCCGCAAGTTGGAGTAGTGGTTGCAGCTTCCTGCAGCCTCTGATGGCCACGTCTGCCCAAGGGTCAGGGAGAACCGAGCTCAATGCACTTTGAAACATAATTGCTGGCCTTGGAGTCCAAAAAGCAACCTCCATATCTGCACTGGATAACGTGGGAGGGAAGTGCTGAGGAGCCTGGACTTGCCCTTACAAGATGTCCAGCTACAAGGGATTTATGGCCTGAGTAAGAGTCATGTCTGTAGGAGTGGGAAGTTGAGTCCAGCCCGCCCTGTGGGAGAGGGGCTGGAGCAGGTCAAGCTCAGAGGAAATCCAAGTTCAGATATACTGACTAGGTATGATAAAGAGAAGTAGAGGAAAAGGCACAGATGGAAGACTACTACTATAAAAAGTCTCAGTGTATTTGGGATGCAATAGAAAGCAGCACAAGGTGGTTTTTTTGGGGGCTTCAGTCATCAGAGGTATGGAAAAGGTTTGCTGGGAACAGGAGGTGTTGTAGCATCACCTCAGGGTCTGTGGCTGTGCTGGAGTGCTGGCCTAGCTCCCTTGATGAGTTTATTCTATTCATGCTGATTAAATCTATTTTTTCTTCTTTCCTTTTTTTTTATAAGTAAAATAATGTGTTTTAAACAAAACATGTGCCAGAGACCTTGGCTTCCCCTCAATCTTCTTGAAGCCTCGAGTCTGTTAAAGCATCATCTGTATGTGCTGAAGATGCACTAAGACTTATGTTGCAGAGTTGCTCAGATTGCCGAGCAGATGGGCTCCAACATGTCTGATTTTTGCCAGCCCTGGCCCTGTTTTGACAACAGTGCCGTATTTTTTTTGTGTGTGTGTGTTGTGGGATTTTTAGTGGCATAAACACTCCCGTTTCTGCTACCAGTGCCTTAAAAAGGAAGGTGCTTTGCAAGCACTCTTCTGAAATGCAGTTCAAAGCACCCGCGGTGAGCGGAGCCGTGGGGAGAGCAGGGGGAGTTGGCCAAGGCTGCCTGGTGCTGCTTGCCCCTGACTTATTTATTCCAGATGTTGATACCTGTGACAAGCACCAGCTTTCATGGTTCTCTCAGACGTGGTTACTGGGGGTCTGTAGCCACAACCCTTGTTCCATAATCCGATAGGGCTGCCTTCCCTTGATCAGGAGTCCCGGCCAACCGTGTCCCCTCTTTTCCAGGGAGAAGGTGTCGTGCAGGAGTTCAACATCACACACCATGTGAAGGAAGGCTCTGAGAAGGCTGATCCCTCGCAGTTTGAGCTGCTGAAGGTGCTGGGACAGGGCTCCTTTGGCAAGGTGAGATCACTCTTTCCTATATGCCATGACAGAAATGATTTTGATGACAGAAGGGACTGTTCCCAACAAAACCACTTTCCTGGTTCCCACTGGACTGTGAAAATCTGATGGATGAGCCCAACTGAGCAAATGGGTGCTTCTAACCTGGAAGGTGACTGTAGTGATGCCTTTCCTAAGGGCCAGCCTGAATGTCCAAATTGCCCTGTAATTCCTTTTGCAGATGGTCAGGAGGAGAGCAGGAATGTCCTGCTTGTGAATGCAGGTGTCACACAGGGCAGAAGGGCCTCCTGCAGCTCTTCAGCTGCCTGCCAAACTGTCAGTCAAACTGAGGGCTTGAAGGGCTCAGGCATGTTCCTCCCTTCTCAGAACTGTGTTCTAGCCCCTGTTTATGGTCCAGTTTCCCTTCTGTGAAGCAGGAAGGAAGTAGCCTGTAGCTCTTATCTATTTCAGCATGTAAATAATCCACAGTCTCTTACAGACCATCTGCTGGCACATTAAATCAGCTTCATGTCAATCAGTTATCAGCTGACAGTGGGGGCTTGGACAGGACTGTGTGCTGTTTCCTGGGCAAATGCAGCAGTGGCTTTGTAGAATCAGAGAATTATTTGGGTTGGAAAAGATCTCTGAGATCATCCAGTCCAACCAGTAACACTGCCAAGGCCACCACTTGCAGGTGGTGTGTTTTTGAAGCTGCCTAAAACCAGGTAGAATGAGACACCAGGGGAAGGAAGGAGGCAAAAATCCAGAGGATGCAGGACCTGAATAATAAGGAGTTGATCTGACTGACAAACCAGCAGGATTTGTGGTACATTGAAGCATCAGTGCTTCCAGTCACAGCTCCCAGGAATCAGCCAGAGCCCCACAGGAGCTGCAGGAGTGAGCAAGAGGTGTGGAAGGCAAGAGGAGGGAAGTGCAGTATGAAAACACAAATGCTGCAATGGCTGGAGGTGGGGGGTGAGAGGAGTCCACACACAGCACTTCCCTGAAAACCCCGTGGGGTTTCGCAGGAGGTACAGCTGCTTTTTAGGGTTACTGTGAGGTCTGCCACTTTGGGAGGCATCCAGCTCCTACTGCCAGTGTTTAGTGCTTGCTGAATGTGCTGTTCTTCTGCCTCAGGTTTTCTTGGTGAGAAAAATAACACCACCAGACAGCAACCACCTCTATGCTATGAAAGTGCTTAAGAAGGCAACACTGAAAGGTAGGAAGGAGACTCTTACTGTGATGCTCTGACCCTTCCCTGACTTAAAGAGCGCTGGGGAAATGTCACAGCAGTCCTGGGGTGGTTTAGGTAAAAGAGGAGCATCTTTATCCCAGCCAAACATCCTCCTTTTCTCTCCATCTGCTTGGTGCTTGGTGCTCAAGGGCTTAAGGTTGAGGACAAGACTGGGGCACTCTGAGGCTTTTTCTGTGTCTGAGCTGTTCCTGTCTTCCCACAGTGCGTGATCGACTAAGGACAAAGATAGAAAGGGACATCCTGGCTGATGTGAACCATCCCTTTGTGGTGAAACTCCACTATGGTGAGTGTGGGGCTGTTTGGGATGCTGGGAGAGGGGCTGCAGGCTCCAACAGACTCTTTGCTTTTAAATGCAATCCCCTTAACACAAATCCTTTCCTGGAAGGGTCTGTGGTCCTGTGCCTGCTCCAGCTATTGAATGGGGAACAGAGAACAGACCAGGAGAAGAGGTTGAAACATCAAATCCTTGGGATTAAAACATTAAATCAGGAGAAACTGAGAAAGCAGAGTTAACTAGTCAAGCTAGAGTCAGCTTTGTTCGCTGTGAAGTGACCAGTGCCTCTCCTGGGAAAACAGCCCTTTCTGTAGGGCTGGAAGGGAACCAGACCCCCATAAAAGGAGGATATTCTGCAGTGCCAGAGTGCTGTGGTGAGCTCCCATTTCAGCAGCACAGACAGGCCATCTCCTTTACCTCAGATATCAGCCCTACCTGCGTTTAACCCAGTAACCATGCAGGGCATCTGCCCAACTGGAGCCACTGGGATTTAAGTGATTAATGGAACACCATGGAGCCTTCCCTCAGTGGAGGGGTCTGATTCCCACTCTGGCTTGTGTTTCAGCATTCCAGACAGAGGGGAAGCTGTACCTCATCTTGGATTTCCTCAGAGGAGGTGACCTTTTTACTCGGCTTTCCAAAGAGGTGGGTATGCTCTGGCATCTCGGTGGGTTGCTGAGGCTCCCAGTTCATCTGTGCTTAATGGCCTGGAGAAGGGACTCACCCTTGAGAGGGGTGGAAACAACCTCCAACCTGCTGCTAGTCCACAGCTGGCAATGGGAGAGGGTGTTTTGGGAATCCTGTGTTCTGGCAGGAAAGCAGCAGCACAGGCAGCAGGTCTCACCTCTGCAGCAGCTTCTGCTGGGCATCATGTTAATAACAAAAACTAAAAGAGGGGAGATTTATACTAGATGTTGAGAAGAAATTGTTCCCCGTGAGGGTAGGGAGGCCCTGGCACAGGTTGCCCAGAGAAGTTGTGGCTGCCCCATCCCTGGAAGTGTCCAAGGCCAGGTTGGACAGGGCTTGGAGCAACCTGGGCTAGTGGAAGGTGTCCCTGCCCCCTTCCAACCCAAACCATTCTGTCATTCCATGAATGGGGGTGAACTCTGGGAAACTTAGAAACAGCAGGAGGGAGCAACATGGACGTGAAGGGTCTCACTGCTGGCGCTGTGACCCCAGCACCTCTCCTCTCCCTGTCCCTCCCTGCAGGTCATGTTCACCGAGGAGGACGTGAAGTTCTACCTGGCGGAGCTGGCGCTGGGACTGGACCATTTGCACAGCCTGGGGATCATATACAGGGATCTCAAACCAGAGAAGTACGTGTGGCCCAGCTGAGCCAGGGATCCCAGTCCTGCATCCAGCCCCGAGCCTGTAGCCAGCCCTCCACACAGGCAGGGCTGGAGGATGGCCCAGGGCCAGGCAGATGAGAGGTGGCAGTGCCAATCCAAGGCTGCCTCTCCTCAGATCAGTGGTTGTGGCCAGGAGGCAGCATATGTGCACCACGTGTGTGAACAGCAATCCTTGGCAGCCTCTGGGCTCCAGCTTTAAGCAGTTTGAGAGCCTTTGGGGGAAGGAGGCACCAGGCTAGGCCTCTGCATGGCTTGGTTCTCCTTGCCTGGGGTATGTGGGGATCAGAGCGAGTGCAACCTGTGTGGGTCATTTGTTCCATGTGAAGCTGAGGATGTAGAGAGAAGGGAGCTGCTCCTGGTCCCTCTTATGTCTTGGTGGTGGAGCTTAAAGCACTGGGAGAAGGGACAGATAACTTTCTCCTCTGGATTTTGGCAGCACCTCAGATCATCCACTGCAGTGCTTGTTCTCACCAGCCCTCACTGCAGACTGTAACAACTTGTTTTTTCCATTCCTGCTGTAGCATCCTCTTGGATGAAGAAGGGCACATCAAACTCACAGGTGAGGGACTCCACAAGGCCTTGGGCTCCTGCAAGGTCGGTTCTTGAAGTATGGAGCTCCTTGTGTGACTGCTCAGGGCACGTGGGTGTGTGTGCTGACGGGCTTTCTCTTGTGTAGATTTTGGCTTGAGTAAGGAGGCCATAGACCACGAGAAGAAGGCCTACTCCTTCTGTGGGACAGTGGAGTACATGGCCCCAGAGGTGGTGAATCGCCAGGGCCACTCACACAGTGCTGACTGGTGGTCCTACGGGGTCCTGATGGTAGGTACCCAGCCAGAGTCTGCGGGCACTGGGAGGAGCAGCTGCTCCAGCTCTGGAACACCCGGACACGGGTCTGTGTGTCTGCCAGACCTGCTGACCTGGGGTGTTCCCCACGCTCCCCAAAGGGCTCCGTAAGGGGCTGTCCCGGCGCCCAGCCAGGAGCTGGGTGGGTTTCCCGTGGGAGGCAGCGCTCCCGAGGGGGCTGTCCCGGTGAGCTCTGGGATGTGGGGGTGTCCGTGTCCACCCCAGCGCCGGGATGTGGTGTCCGCGCAGATCTGGTGCCACCATCTGGCAGCTGCTGAATCCCAGGGCTCCCGCAGGAGCCGGCGCTGGCCCGAACGTGTTCCCGCTGCACAAACCTTGTGATCCGAAGCTCCTCCTGAGAAAACACGATGCCTGTGAGCTCTGTTAGAGCCAGGCTTGGGATCCCTCAAGCTTTTCACGAGCAGATGAAGGGGCAGTGAGATCTGTGCAACCCTCAGCCTTGCCCAAACGTGATCCCCCCCCCTTTTTCTCTTTCCCTCCCAGTTTGAGATGCTCACCGGTGCGCTGCCCTTCCAGGGGAAGGACCGTAAGGAGACCATGACCCTCATCCTCAAGTAAGAGGAGTTTCTCTCTCCTGCCTGCATAGGAGGTGCTGCTTTTTGAGCCGTGTTGCAATCTGGGGGCTCTCGCAATTTAATGGCGTTATTTGGCAAGCGGTTTCCTACCAACAGTTAGTTAGAAGGGTGCAGTGTAAATGCCAAGGGGATGACTGTGCTTTTTGGGGGTGGAGGTGCTGCAGTCAGCTTGTGGCTTGACTTCTTTAAACCTGCAGCTGATTGCAAAACTTCCTCCCCAGAGCGAAGCTGGGCATGCCACAGTTCCTGAGTGCTGAGGCGCAGAGCCTCCTGAGAGCCCTGTTCAAGAGGAATCCAGCCAACAGATTAGGTAAGACAAATGTTTTGTTTCCTTCTAAATACACCTGATGCCCTATCGGGGCCTCTCTCACCCTCCTGGGTCAGCAGCGTGCTCACACTTGTGCTCAGTTAATGGTTAGTTGCAGCCAAGCTCTCCATCACCCCTGGCTGTGTTGTGTCACCCTCACTTTGTCAGGGGTTTAGTGCAACGTGCTCCGTGGTGCATCTTGCAGGTTCTGGACCAGATGGGGCAGAAGAGATCAAGCGCCATCCTTTCTACTCCACCATTGACTGGAACGTGAGTACTGGAAACACGAAAGCAGATTTCTCCACCATTCAGCGCCAGCAATTCACTTCTGGCAGCAGGAATAGCGTGGTCATGGTGCTTGAGCAGCCACGGGAGAGCCACCAGCCCCTGTCCCCATCCATTCCAATAATCCTTCCCGAAACTAAAATTCTGTTTGTCACAGAACTGTTCCATACTTGGGTTGCCTGTCACCTCACCTCAGATCGAATTTACTCATCTGTCAGCAGAGAAGCGCAGGTTTTAATTGGGGTTTGGCACAAGGTTTGTCATGCACTAAGTGGGAAGGAACCAGGGAAACGTTCCTGGCGAGGAAATCAGGGCAATCACTGAACTGGCACTTCCCAACTGCTTCTGGCCAACTCCCTACTTTGCCACACAGTTTTGTTTCTTCCCTGTTTTCCCTTACTCGGTAAGGGATTTGAAGATCACTCCTAATACTTCCAAGGTCCCTGCAAGCTGCTAGACTGACCCTCCAGCAATGCCAGTAAAGCTTATTTCCAATTTTTGCTTCAGGAAGCAATTTTAAAAGGCACTTGTGGGAGTTCTGGGATATGAATGCCCTCCTAATGCATCTCCTCTGGCCATCCCTGGGGAGATACGTGTCAGCAAAACCCTAATGGGAGTTAGGAGGAGGTGGGAGAGCCTGTCAAGGAAAATACTTTATGGATGCTGCACTTGGAGTGGGGGCAAGTTGCCTGTAGAACACTTATTTTCTTGATTTAATATATGAGGTAACTCGTAATATTTCTCCACAAACTGACTCAAAAGCAACCCACCAGCCGAGAAGTCCTCTCTCGGGCTGCTGAGCTGTAGCTAAATGCTAAGCCAGGGAGTTTCACAAAATCTCTTTCCTTGCCAGCCTTTGCACCCTCTGGAAGGCTGCACCCGTCAGAGCACTCTCTGTGTTTTGCAGAAGCTGTACCGCAGGGAAATCAAGCCCCCCTTCAAGCCTGCAGTGGGCCAGCCAGACGACACCTTCTACTTTGACACAGAATTTACGTCGCGCACGCCGAAAGGTTTGTGTGACTTCACGCAAAAGCCAGAGCTTCCTGTGTGAGGTGATGCTCCGTGGTTTAATATTTAACACCGCAGAGCATCTGGTGCCTGCAGGGCAAGGTTTGCCTCGGGCTGGTGCTGCCAGCTCAGATGGTTCCAGCACTGAGAGGGTGGCCCAGCCACAGAGATGTCGGGCTCTTCTCACAAGTAAGACAAGAGGAAATGGCCTCAAGTTGTGCCGTGGGAGGCTTAGGTTGAATATTAAAGAAAACTGCTTCATGGAAAGGGTTGTCAAACCCTGGCACAGCTGCCCAGGGCAGTGGTGGAGTCGCCATCCCTGGAGGCATTTAAAAGACATGTGGATGTGGCACTTGGGGCCACGGTTTAGCAGCGGCCTTGGCAGGGCTGGGGGAATGGTTGGACTCGCTGATCTTAGAGGGCTTTTCCAACCTGGATGACTCCATGATTCTCTGTGGGGTGTTAGGGGCAAGCTGGGTGCTGCTGGTGTGGCTCTTGTTTGGAATAAACTCAGCATCAGCCACAGCTCCTGGGAGCGAGGGGAAGGCTTGCAGAACCAGCCTTCTTCACGCTGTGTTTCCACTCCTGTTGCAGATTCCCCGGGCGTCCCCCCCAGCGCGGGGGCCCACCAGCTCTTCCGAGGCTTCAGTTTCGTGGCGACCGGACTGATGGAGGATGGCAAGGTGAAACCTGCCCAGCCACCCCTGCATTCGGTTGTGCAGGTGAGAAATGGAGACACTGGAACAGCTGTTTGAAAGCGCAGAGATACTCCAGGTCTGTGCCGCCCAGAGCAGCTCTGACAGGAAGCCCGAGGCGGTGTCTGTTTGGAATTCTTGCATCCTGTTTTTCTTTCATTTCCATTGACTGCCACACTGTGCACAGGTTGGCAGGAAAACGCGGGGCTGTGGCTTTTCCTCTCCCCACGTGGATCTGTGCTGGCGGGGGTCTGTAAATGCCTGTGGGTTGAAGGTGCCACCCAAACACACCGCGCTCAGAGCAGACAGTGTTATCCCACTGACCTATATCTGCCTTGCTCTCTTCTCCTCCCTCTCCCAGCCGGGAGGAGAAGCTGTGGGATGTAGCAGACAGTCTGCCAGCTCTGCCAGTTAACTCATCACATTGCACAAACCCTTCCCTGAACCCTCAGAGCTCATCTCTCCTTTCTGCTCCTGCAGCAGCTGCACGGCAAGAACGTCCAGTTCAGCGACGGGTACGTGGTGAAGGAGGTGATCGGCGTCGGCTCCTACTCCGTGTGCAAACGCTGCATCCACAAAGCCACCAACATGGAGTACGCAGTCAAGGTCAGAGCCCTGCCCTCAGAACTGAGCTCCCCTGCTAGATTTTTGCCCACAGAGAAGCTGTGGCTGCCCCATCCCTGGAAGTGTTCGAGGCCAGGTTGGACAGGGCTTGGAGCAGCCTGGTCTAGGTGTTCTTTAAGGTCCCTCCCAACCCAAACCATTCTGTGATTCTATTTCTGCTCATCCCACGAAGAGCAAAATAACATCCAGGAGTGAAATCGCTTTCCCTGCTCGTGTAGGGCCTAAAAGGACAATTTCTGTGCTCCTGTGCATGTACCTGCACTTCCCCAGGAATAGCAGGGAGCAGCATTCTCTTCCCTCAGAGGGAGGAGAGCATCTCACCTTTGCTTGCAAAGCTGTGGCTACACCAGATCTTAACAAATACAACAGACATAAAACTTTGGGGATTAGGAACACAACTTCCCCTTCTCCAGCTGCTACAGAGAGCAGGGGAGCAGATATGGCACAGGAGCTCTGCAAGGCCCCAAACTCAGCTTGTGTGCTTTGTCCTGGCCCCCTTCTCACCCTGTTATGACTAATCCTGCTTCTCCCTACTCCTGCAGATGATTGACAAGAGCAAGCGAGACCCTTCTGAGGAAATAGAAATCCTGCTGCGGTACGGGCAGCATCCAAACATCATCACCTTGAAAGATGTGAGTGTGGCTTGAATGACTTCCCTGTGTTTTGGTCTAGGAAGTGCAGGCTGCTCAGGGAGCAGATTTCAGCTCCAGCACAGGTGGCCCAACAGCCCAGCTCAATGTGTCACTCTGTCTCTGTTATGAAAAGGTTCTTCCCCCAGAGGGTGGTTGGCACTGACAGGCTCCCCAGGGCAGTGGTCATGGCCCCAAGGCTGCCAGAGCTCCAGGAGTGTTTGGGCAACACTGTCAGTGACAGGGTGGGATTCTTGGAGTTGTCCTGTGCAGGGCCAGGAGTTGGACTTTGATGATCCTTGTGGGTCTCTTCCAACTCAGGATATTCCATGGTTCTGGGGTGGGGAAGCACCCCCAGAGCCACCTCTGCTGATCCCTGCTTCTTGATGGTAGAAGCACAAAAGGGAAGCTCCGGAAGCACTTTTTGGTTAATCCCCTCTCCACGTTTGCTTTGGAAGGTGTACGACGACGGGAAGTTCGTGTACCTGGTGACTGAGCTGATGAGGGGAGGGGAGCTGCTGGATAAAATCCTCAGACAGAAGTTTTTCTCAGAGAGGGAAGCCAGTTCAGTCCTGCACATGATCTGTAAAACAGTGGAGTATCTGCATTCCCAAGGGGTGAGTATGGTCTTCCTGGGAATTCTCTGGCATTACACTGTGCTCCCTCTCCTCCAGGGAGTAACTCTGCCCGTCAGGACAATTATTTCTTGCTGGTGTTGCTCTCTTGGCAAAGCAGATGTGGGACCAGAGCAGGGGTTGAGTGTCCTCGGGCAGCTTTCAGACCTTTATCTACCTGGGGTGTGGCCCTTTCTTTGCTCCACAGGTGGTTCACAGGGACCTGAAGCCCAGCAACATTCTCTATGTGGATAAGTCGGGAAACCCCGAGAGCATTCGGATTTGTGACTTTGGCTTTGCCAAGCAGCTGAGGGCTGAGAATGGGCTGCTCATGACTCCCTGCTATACAGCCAACTTTGTGGCACCTGAGGTAAGTGCTGACCTGAGACCCTCTGGTAGCCCCCTTGTCCCTGTTCTCCCTCTTGGCACAGTGGATCTGCCCCATTCCCAGCTCCAGCCTGCCCTGGAAAAGGGAAATACAGAGATCCAACTTGTAATAATGAATAAATAGGAGATCCCAAGTGCAGTTACAGGGCAGTCCTCCAACCTGCACTGCCCTCATGAGAGGTCTGCTTAGGGTACCGAGACTGTAAAATCCCAGTGATTTCCTAGGCTGCTTCCCTTCCTCATTAAGTGACTTGTTAAAAGAGGTGGGATGATTTTCCACTCAGTTATCTTGGTGAGGAAGAAAGAAGGAGAGCCAGCATGGCATGGGAGTACACATGCAGTGTCACCACACTGGAACAGTGTGGTGACACTGTTGTGCCTGAGGGGTTCCTCTGCTCCATGAAACCAAAGTCCGATTTGAATCCTGATCTTCGGTCCAAGACTTTTCTGTTCTGTCGGGCTCTGGATGCTTTGCACATGGACTGCACCCAGGTCAAGCCCCCTCTTCTGAAATGAGCTCAGCGACAAGAACAAAACACACTTTGTTTTCCCTTTGTTCTGCTCAGGTACTGAAACGCCAGGGCTACGACGAGGGCTGTGACATCTGGAGCCTGGGGGTTCTCCTGTACACGATGCTCGCTGGGTAAGTGGCTCTGTCCCACTGGAAGGCAGGGCTGGGGCTGGGACCCCCTGCTCTGCAGTGGCAGCAGGACTCTCCTCAGTCACTGCTGCCCGGTGGTGCTCCCTGCCTGTGTCCCAGGCCAGTAAACCCAGTGCTCTCTCCTCTCCTCTCTCCCCAGCTGCACTCCCTTTGCAAACGGTCCCAGTGACACTCCAGAAGAGATCCTGACCCGGATAGGTGGGGGGAAGTTCTCCATCAGTGGAGGCAATTGGGACACTATTTCTGACATGGCCAAGGTAGGGGTTGATATTTGTGTTACATTCAAGGGTTGGGGTCAAGCAAGGCCAGTTGCAGTGAGGCAAGTTTAGAGCAGGCTGGGGAGGGAGGACACAAGAGAGAGAAGAATACCAGCAGTGTAGCTTCTCCCCCATGTCTGCCTTCCACACAGCAGCTTTATTTCAGTTCTGGCTGTGAATATTTGCATGGAAAACCAACCTCGTGCCTGACCCATGTGGGGGTTTGCTGCTGTGTTGTGCCTCCCAGGCCTGCCAAAAACATATTTCATACAAAAAGAGTTTGATGTCTGGGGATTTTAAACTTGGCCTCTGAATTTAAAACCTAATTTGGGGGCAGACAGGTGGTATTTTTGCATTTAAAGCATGAAATCTTCTAAAGTCTGACTTTTCCAAACGATGCCCTTAGGATTTGGTATCAAAGATGCTCCACGTAGATCCTCACCAGCGTCTCACAGCCAAGCAGGTCCTGCAGCATCCGTGGATAACCCAGAAGGACAGCTTACCCCAGAGCCAGCTCAATCACCAGGACATTCAGCTTGTAAAGGTACAAAGTCTGGGCTGAGCCTTCTGCTGGTCCCTCGTGTACCTTGGGAAAGGTCCAGGTCGGGCAATGGTGGGGTGGGAAAGCAGGATGGCAGGTTGGAGAGGGGGGGGGCAGGGGAGGGAATACAGACAAGCTGGGTTTGTGGGGAGATAAAAATGGGAGGTTCTTGAACAGCATATCAGTGCAGGAGGGAGATTTAAAGAAATGAGAAAGATGCTTCTGGCTTTGTTTGTGGGTTTGGCTGCATCTTGTAAAGCCGTGAGTCTGAAATAGCTCCTCCACACCTACATGATTTCTACACTTCAATTACCTCTCTCCTCCCTTTCTCCAAGGGTGCAATGGCTGCCACGTACTCTGCACTGAACAGCTCCAAGCCAAGCCCTCAGCTGAAGCCCATTGAATCCTCCATCCTGGCACAGAGGCGGGTGAAGAAACTTCCCTCCACCACCCTGTGAAGCCGGGCTGGGCTGGGCTGCAGCCACACGGTGCAGGCACACACTGGATTTTGCACACCTGTGGAAGATGGGGACAGGGGACAGTCAGTATCTGCACTGGAGCTCCCTTGGAGGCTTGCTCTCAAAAGGCCAAGTGCCTTCCTGCTCCTGAAAGACTGGCTCCTCCTCGTGTGGACTGATCTTTGCCGAGAGAACTTCACTGTAAAACTTTTTTGAAGTGTAAATTGTCAATTTTTAAAGACATCCGTGTATATGAGAACTAGAGTGTATAACTGATGTCAAGTGGCACTAAAAAGCAGCTCTGATTTCACCCTTCCCTGTGTAGGGCCTGGTATTTGTCGTTGCTACAGCATTTCTTGGAATTGTTCCTCTCCAGCTCCACTGCAGCTGGAAGACTGTACCACATTTGGGGGTTAGGCTCTGGGGTTTTTCCCTCCTTGAACCTTTGGATGCCCTTCCCAAAGCCGACCCTGCAGCCTCCCAGCCAGCAGTGCTCTTGTCCTTAAAGGACTTCCCTCCCCTTGACTTTCTGTGTGTGTGTTCCACGTGAGGTCGATTTTCCAGCCTCTGTTTCTCCCTCTCTCTTACACTCCCCCAGCCCAGCCAGCAGTTCAGTTCTCTGAACAAAATAAACCACGGGTTTTCCAAACCCTCCCTTAGATGCTTCACCTGTCCAGAACACCTGCTAGGTTTGGCTCCTTCCTTCCCTCTGCCCTCCCATCTCTGTTTTCTCCCATCACCAGATGGGAGTTTGTCACCTGGGCAGGTGGGGATGACAACAGAACCTTCTCCTTGGCAAAGCCAAGGCTTTGGGCTGGCTCTGGCTGCTGCTTTTACCATTTTGGGGTTTTCCTTTCCTGTCAGCAGGAACCTCTGAACAAAACCATCCTTTGTTTTTTTTTTTTAATTTAACTTTGTTCTCCAGCTTGGTAACTCAGGGTTTCTTTCTGACTCGTCCAATAAACGTGTCATTCAGGTGACTTTACGTTACTGCCTGACTTTTAGCTGCAGAATCCGCTCGTTTCCCTGCCTTGTGTGGGGACAGTGCTCCTTGCCTGCCTTTTGGGAGAGCTGCAAAGCTTTTCACCCGGCCCTGTGGTGGGAAAACCAGCAGTAGGGCTGCATCTCATGCCACCTCCTCTCAGGTGCAACACCTCACTCCGCAGTGGGAAGCGATTAGAACCGGTCACGGAACGAGGAGCTGGCAGGATGTGGAAGGGAATTTCCTACTCTCAGGACATTTTAGTGCTAATAGAAACCAACACTTGGAGGCAAACTGTGCTAGAAATAAATTCCTGTCCCGTTCTGACTTGCAGGGAATTGCTGGAGCTCCCTGGTTCCCTGGTGGCAGTTTCCTGGGAGAAGGAGCAGGGTTGCTAAAAGGGCTGCAAACACTCACGAGCTCGAGGATGTGACTGAAGCCAGCAAAGGTTCTCCTGTGAATTTCTCCTACTTTTAGCTGATCATGTCACAAGAGAGGAAATTTTCTTTTTTGCTTAGTCCCACTTGGCTTTAAAATGGAGAATTCCATTAAAAGAATTATCTGAAAAGTACAGCTCTCTCCTCCTCTACCCTAATCCAAGCAGGTCCTGGTTTAATCCCTGGAGCAGCCAGTGAGAAGCTGAAATAGTCACAATTTTTTCTTTTTCTCTATTCCAAGTACAGCCTGAGTGTCCAGTGCTGCTGAGAGGAGGAGGCCAGCACCAGTTCACAGTGGATCCTCTTACTGGTATTGCCACTGACCCCAGCAGAGATGGATTAAATGTTTTGCTGAGATCTGGGGAGGGGGACACCATTATCCAAGATGCCTTCCTTAAACATACTTGTTTTCACCTCTCTTCCCTACAACTCCACAGTAACTCTTGTGCCAGTGGTGTGCTAATTTTAGCTAATTTAATCTGTTGCAACCAACACAATAATTATAAACATCTTTCTGGAGCTGAGGTTGAAGTTGGGATTGAAGTGGACACCTCAGCAGTTTTTCAGAATACTTCCTACATTGTATTTCCAGGGAAGGCCTGGAGTGATGGATGGGGCTGGATATGTTGGTGGGAATCAACACTCCCTGTCAGCTTCTTGATATGGACCATCAGGGTCTTCAGCCTTGGGGTTTAGGGGGAATTAAACCAAATGTTTGCCCTGCTTGGAAGGTTGTTTGTATGAAAATGCCAATGTTTTCAAATATCAGTCAGGAAAAACATTGTGACCTTTGCTCAATCCTCCCTGTGCTGTGCTGGTGTGAGGCCAACTGGGGACAACTCAGAGGTGTGTGGGGACAACCGGGTGCAGAGCTCTGTGGGCACGGGGAGAGCAGCCCTTGGCCACGAGATGATACCTGGGGCATCCAACCCCAGTGCCTGGGGCACCAACCCCTCCACCTCACTGGGGTTCTTCAGTCAGAAGAACTTTGTGTTTGGTGCAGCTGTAGCTTCTGGAACCTCCATCCCTCGGGAGCAGAGAGTGAACAAGAAGAGCTACACCTTCCCCCCTGGGGTGCTTTTACCCACGTTGTTCTGAGTGATCCATAAGTAAAAACAAGTCTGGATTTTTAGTTCCAAATCAACCAAGTGCTGTTACCTTTTTTAATTCCAGTGCTCAATAAAAATGGACTTGTTGAATTCTCTGTACATGAGAACTGTAGGTGTTTGTGACCAGCCGGGCTCTGTCCTTTCCTTTTTAATTTTGTCCTGACAGTATTAGACCTTTACCAAAATACAGTTGGGACCAACTGTTATCTTAACTGGAATTGCATTATTTGAGGTGAAAGTTGGCTGTCTAATGTCTGTTTTGGGGAGCTAGTGTCTGGGAGAGACCAAATGATCTGCTCTCACAAGAGTCTGGGCTCATTTAGCTGTAACTTGGGACAAAGGATACACAGAGGATATCACAAATTGTTATGACTTGAAAAGGGGTAGAAATGGATTTAACTTCCATGCATAAGGATATCTTTGCAAGGAAAACTGCTTGTGTTGGTTCAGGTGTTTAATAATCGACTTGACCTTTAAGCTTTTGTCCTGTAGGTCTGCATGAAAGCTCAAGGGAGCAGAAATCCCAAAATCCAGCTTCGAATTGCTGAGTCTACCTGGAATTAACCTGTGCAGAAAGAGCATCCAAAGTCAAAGAGCCTGAAAATTATATTGAACAGCTCTATATAATACAGTTTTTGTGTAAGAAAGGTTAAACTTCCCTATTCTGGGGTATAAACCAGCAATATCTCTGCTGTAAAAGAGGCTGAGAGGCTGTTTCCCTTCTTCCCACTGTGTACCATAGCTGTGCCTTCCCCTTAATGATGTGGTTCTGCCCTCTGTCAAACTAACCAGGGCATAAATAAATGTATTTTGGCCCGATCAATATTCCCATCATGATTCTTTAGGCCGTCTTTAAAACTGAAGGCCAGTAACTTCCTCAGCAATCACCTCCTGTTCCTTTTTCACAGTGAAAGCGGTCTGGGTTTTTTAACTTATTTTTAACTAATGCCAGTCCCTCTCCCACCTTTGAGTCAGTTCACGTTAAGTCCTTTTCCTGCATCTTTAGGCACTGGTGGGTGTTGGATCGTGCAGCTGGTGGCCTCCTGGGTGCCACCACCACCTCCTCGTGGTGGCCACAGCTGCCTTCCCAAGGACGGGGGAGGCTTTGGAAGCGCTCGGTGACTACGAGTGTGTCAGACGGTATGTGGGGCAGGCACTGGGCTTTCATGGAATATTCGACAATTTAATCCCTCTTTTAAGGCAAAGAAAAACATCTAAAATATTTCAAGGTCTTCTTTTTGGCAGTACGTGGGGGCTCTGAATAAAACCTTCACTCACGCCAGGGAAGCTGGAGGGCCGCTGCCACTCCAGTTCCTTGCCTCCGGTTATTAAAACATCAAGCTGTCTTACTGCCTCCCTCCCTTTGTGTGGCACTGAACACCTGCCATTAATACTAATTCGACTCCGGAGAGAAACTCCCTTTCAGATATGCTTGTCTGAAAATAAATTGACATGTAAAAGGTCTCTTTTGTCGCGAAGTGCACGGAAAGTGCCGGGGTGAGGAGCCGATCGCTTACAAAAGGAGGCACTGACTCTTTAAATGACGTGTGGAGGGGCTGAGAAATGGGAAATGTGGGGGGGGGTGATGCTGTAACTGGGCTGATGTGATACAATTAGAGGAGGATCCCGTGACTGCAACCTCTGCTTGGTGTTAGACTTTGAGATTTTGGGTGATTTTCGTCCAAACCCCTGCTCGTCTCGGGGGGTGAACGGCCGGGCTCTGCAGGGACCCCCTTGGAGAAAACTCTGTTTTGTTTAGAAAAATTGTTGTTGTTACAAATAAGTACAACAAAAACTCAGAGCACTTCATGGTGAGCCCTTCAATTTAGATGTATAATGAACTCCAGGGCTCTGTTGTTTTTCCTGGGACAAAAAATTTCGTAACACCGGAGAAGGGTCCTGTAGCTGCAACCCCTGTTTGGTATTAGATTGAGATTTTGGATGATTTTTGTCTAAACCCACGGTTGTCTCACGGTGAATTGCCAGGCTCTGCAGGGACCTATTTAGAGAAAACTCTTTTCTTTAAAAATCATTGTTATTATGAATATCTGCAACAAAAACTCAGAGCATTTGGTGGCGAGCCCTTCAATTTATATGTATAATGAACTCCAGGGCTCTTTTGTTTTCCCTGGGACAAAAGTTTGTATCACTTTCAATTAGGAAGCAGTAAAAGGATCCTTGGTTAGAGTATTTATTCTGTCCTACAGGCAGCAGTGTGAGCCAGCAGAAGGTCAATATTTTTATTTTTATTATAAAGAATGATTTCCTTTGAGCTCCTCATGCCCTGGGGAGACCAAGGCTCTCTCCTAAGAAAACAGTGTTAACTTGGTTATTTGGGCCGAGCTTTGGAGGGGGTGACATTGCTTGGAATTTCAGCTTTGGTGCTGAAATGATGCACTTCCATGGCTGGGGATGAAGTGTGGCGTGGACCTGGTGTTCAGCTGCTGCACGTTGGGCTTCTGGGTCTTCTAGTGAAGAAATCATTCATTTCATAATGAAGATCAAGTTGAAATATGTTCAGGGCTTGAAAGAGGGGGAAAAAAAGGTAATTTTGGCAATTACAGATTAGCTGGTGTCACGTCTGGTTTATCAAACAAGCAGGAGCTCTCGGTGCTGCTGAGCTCCAATGCCATCTTCTTTTTAAACAGCAGATGGTGTTAGAAACCTGTAACAGGTGGAAGCTCTTCAGTTTTATGTGAGAGATCAGAAGTAGCAGCAATTTCTCCCAAGGGGTAGTTCCTTCCCGAGCTGAACAGCAAGCTGGCCCTCTGCTTGGATAGTTATTACAGAGGGAAAAAACTTCTGAACCACACGTGTTCGTATGGAAGGAAGTGATTCTGATTCGACTTATTCTGGTTATAATAAAAGGAACCTGGTAATGGCCTCCATAATCCTCTGTTAGCAGCTCTAAAAGAGAGATGTAGTGGGGGAGACGAGCTGTGTTTGCTGGTGTGCCTCAAAATCCGGCTCCAATCTGCCAGATCTGTTGGTTCCCTGTCTATAATAGCACTTCGCATGCTTAAAGTGTTTTATAAACATTTAATTACCGCAGCTTTTGACTCAAAGCCAGGAATCTCTCATTCATCTGCTGCTTTGCGAGGGCTGTGAAAATGATATTCAAATTATAGAACTGCAGGAAGGGCTGAGTTCAAACCCCAGTTAAGGAGAACCTCCGTTACTGGGATCTGTCCGCGGGGCCGCGTTTCCAAAGCGAGTTACTCCTCCAGCGCTGGAAACGGCAACGGGGATAGATCTGAGGGCCTGTCAGCACCCCAGGACACGGAGCTGCATCTTAATCATGTTAGGGAAATGAGATGCTAAATTCTGCTCAGCTGGTGTTGTATGAACTTCTGAGGCAGGCGGGGAGTGCGGCTCTGTCTAGACTAGAGCCGCGTTTGATCCCCCGGCCCCGCCGTGTCCTTTGCTGCCGTCAGCAGCAGGAAAAAATCAGTATTTGTTAGAAGTCGCTTTTTTCCCCACCCACCAAACTACTTGGAATTTTAACCAGCCCAACTCCCGGCTCTATTTTTAAAAAAAAAAAAAAAAAAATAAAAATGTAGAGAAACGCAGGCTTAGAGCATGAGTTTCCTGCCTGCCTCCATCCCCTCCGTGTCGCAGCCCCCAGGTTTGTGGCACCAAGCAGAAGCAGCAACTAAAGGTAAAAAACTTGTGTGGGATTAATAATTTCTATCCAACCGTCTGCCTTTCACCAGCTCCCTTTCCTGCACAGCACATTGTAGGTGCAGAACTGGGTGTGCAGGAACAGAAATCATTCGCTTTCCATGAAAGTTGCCCAGAGCAGCTGTGGCTGCCCCATCCCTGGAAGTGTTCAAGGCCAGGTTGGACAGGGCTTGGAGCAACCTGGGACAGTGGGAGGTGTCCCTTGGCAGAGGTTGGACTAGATGGTCTTTAAGGCCCCTTCCAACCCAAACCATTCTGGTGTTCTATGAAAAAAGCTGTTGGCTGGCTCTGTGTGTGTTTTGGTGGATTCACAAACAGTAACTGCTGGGCAAGGCAGGAAACCCAGATGGGAAGTGGTTCCTCTACGAGCTGACCCTGATCTCACTGCCTTCAGGAGGGTTATCCTAAACTATGGAGGAGAAAACCTCCAACTGCAACTGCTGAGACCTCCAGTCTTTACTGTAATTACAAAGGCAGACTGTGAGTGAGCCCCTTTAATAAAGGCCACTGCTGGCAATCAGCCCCTTTTAACGAGGCAGATCCCCAATTTCAAGGCCCTGGATCACTCACTGCTGCACTCGCTCCCTGCTCGGTGGGCTGTGAGCACACGAGGAGCAGCGACTCACAAAATAATCCCAGAGCCCCTTTTCCTGCCCTGTTTAAAGACGGGGTAGGGAGTTCCTCTGATGTTTCATTAAAGCTGGCTTTTCTCCTTGTGGCAGAGCAGATTTAATCAGACCTGCCTCCTAGTTCCAGCTGCTGGGTTGGAGCGCTCTGATCTGTGCACTGGGTGCACGTCTAATTATGGAGGCAATTCCCATGGATACCGAGAAGAATTGCCTGTACTGGCAAAAAATGATCCCAGCTGGGAAAACAGGGAAGGAAAACGTGTTGAAATATTCGGGAAGAGACTTCAAAAGTTTCTGGAAACGTTAAGTGAAAAGCATTTCTGGTGTTCCTGCACCGCAATGTGCAAATCTTGATTATTTTAAAACTAAGACAGGGGTTGGTTTGTAAGAGCTAATCCCAAATCGCTGCTTTCTTGTGCTACTGGAGGATTTACCAGCACCACAAAACTGAATTTCCCCCCTCCTTGTAGTCTGCATCCCCTTGGGAACGCTCTCCCACCTTTGCTTCTCACCTGTGCAGCACCAGGGGTGTGTTTGGAGAAAACGGCCAAGAGTTTGTGTTTCCATCAGGGCACACCCTGGGTGGGGCAGTGCAAGGGCTGGTAATTCTGGTTCCTTCCACAGCACCGGTGCTGCCGGGTGGGACCTGGGTAAGTTCCTCCCCTTTGTGCCTCATCCTTCTGAAATGTATGAATTTAAATAACTTATTTCTGTATAAATTACTGTTTGAAAGGTCTGTTCAAGGCAAAAGAGCACTCCCTGGTAAAAGGAGAGGGGGAAATACCTGGG